AATCCAATCGGTACAGAAATGAGTAGAAGTCACTTAGAGTGGGAGAGTTCCTGGTCGTGCCTCCAGTAAGATGAGGCTGTGACATTCCCATGAGTAGAATGGGAAAACAGAGAAACAGAAAGAACAAAAAGAGAAAATGAGTAGAGTCACGAAGAGTGGGTTGAGTCCCCAGCCGTGCCTCCAGTAAGATGAGGCGGTGACATACACCAGAGAGTATATAGAAAAGACTATGAGAAACAGAAACAGGAGGAGAACATAAATGAGAAGAGAAGAGTGTAAAGAAAGAATTAAGAGAAAGAAGTACGGGGATAGATGAGTAGAGGATTTACTTACTGAGCATTTTTTTGCTCACCCCGTTGTTTTTCTATGTTTTTGCAGGTTCTAGATGAGGACGCAGTCGGATGGATGTTGGCGGGCGAGGAGGAGTAGTTACACTGTCCACCACACTTTTGAGAACTTTTGTAAAGGATACTGACTTTTGTAAAAGAATATGTATATTAAATAAAAGAAAAATTTGGGCCCAACTATTTTTATTAATGTACTCGTATGTTATTATATGTATTTTTATAAGATAGTAATGTCAAGCAGTTATTACACAACAGTTGTTCAAATAGATCATAGATAAACTCAAATCCCGGATATTTAGGAAGGGACCAGATCGACAGTAATGATAGTGCAATCTCAACGCTTAATCGCGAGAATTTCAGAGTTGCATTCCAATCTTGATTATAATCCCTTTATTTTTGCTTTTTCCTTTGTAAAAAACTTTTACATAAACCTCTTTCAACGATGGAAAAGGGGTTAACAGATTAGTCTAGGCATTATATTGAATTTCTTTTAAGCTGTCAAAGCAAAATAAGAAAACAGTGGATGTAGGCTCAAGATCATAACTTGCCGAACCACCTTAAAATCTTTTTGTCATTTACTTTACTGCTTTTGATTCATATTTTGCTAGTTATCATTAATCACGCACACACATTCCGATTCCATCACGGCCAGTCAGATCACTCTAGTTGGTGCGAATCTCGTATCAACATTTTGGCGCTAGAAGGAGGGGCTCAACCAAATTTCACAATTTCCAGCAATCTTTTTCAGTGACTCGATAACCTGAAAATTCAAATGGCCTATACTAGATCAAAGACCAATACCAAAAACCACGACAACATGGAAACCACCAATTAAGAGGTACATTAGACTGTTCCTTCAGGTTGATCACCAATGCCACTAGTGCGGTAGATCGCTAACCAGTAGGGGGTAAGGATGCTGAATCCCGAGAATAGGCAACTTGTGGAAATGATCAAAACAATGGTTGCACAAGCGGTGCAACAGAACGTGGTTGAGTTAAGAAATCAACAATCGGCCCCCCAAGACCTATACTAGCCATGCTTCACGAATGCTACCTTAACAAGTCGGAACTCAACAGGTGACCAATCTAGTTTGTTTGCACCAAGGAGCAATCGACACCCTCAACACCACAAGGTACATTCCACTTACGAATGTGAGTCCCGCATAACCAATAGGGGGTAGGGACTTTGAATCCAGAGAATGGACAACTTGTGAAAATGATCAAAATAATGGTTGCACAAGCAATGCAATAGAATGTTGCTGAGTTAAGAAATCAACAATCAGCCCCCCAGGACCTAGACCAGCCATGCTTCATGAACGCTACCTTGACAAGTCAGAACTCAGCCGATAACCAATCTAATTTGTTGGCACCAAGGAGCTATCGACACCCTCAACACCATAAGGTATATTCTACTCACGAACGTGAGTCCTGCGGGCAAACTAACCTGCGAAGGTGACTAGGGAAGCAGCCCATGGGGGAGAATGAAGGCAGTGGTCGTCCAAGGGATACTCGACCTACTCGACGATATCCCCAACGTCAACGTGCCAATTTTAACCCACGCCAAAGGTGGGCTCAAACCTCGCAAGCTTACAAGATGAGTCACGCACGCCAATCTGGCAATGACCGACATTTCGATTTTAACTTACGTCACGAGTAGTGCACTGACGAGTATGATAGCACCTACCAACCTAGCCATCATGACTCAACCTTGCGCATCAATGCATATGATAGAGAAGGCTCACAAGCAACTAATCTCCGAACTCACCTGTTCGAGGTAAGGCTGAATAAAGCCTACAGACAGAGTACTCATAATGAAGAATTAGATCGGGTGCAAATAATATTTGATGATCTAAGAGCTCGCTAGAACAATGCGGTGAAATAAATAGTGAGTTTTTCGTTCATAGAGGAAGTTCACCAAGCCTTGCTTCTTCAAGGATTCAGGGTGCCAAAAAGCAAGTTCAATGGAAAAGGGGATCCTAGAGACCACCTTAACTCTTTCAATGACTTATGGAGCTGCATCAGGTCTATGACTTGGCAAAGTGCTGCTGTTTTACAGTCACATTAGTTGTAGATGCCAAGAGGTGGTATAAGAGGCTCAAGGCGAACTCAATTCAATCTTGGCAATAGTTCTCCTCGTTGTACCTACAGTAATTCCAAGCGAGGAGACAGTTTGCAATGTCGCTCAACTATCTAAGTAATATTTGTTAAGAAAGAGACGAAACACTGACCTCATATTTAATGAGGTTCTAGAATGAACAAGCAAAGGTCACGGATGCGCCTGAAGAGTCGATCCAGACTTTGTTGATAGTGGGAATAAGGCCATAGGTGAAGTTGTGGAAAGAGCTCCAAAGCGAGGATCAAGTGAGCCTAGCCAAGTTTTATCAAATGGCCGCCAAACATCAGTGGGTGGAAAGCTCGCTGATAGCCTTAGCTAGAAGCTTGCCAAGAAAAGCCCCCGATAGGTGACAAGATCGCCCAATAGATAAATGAAGGGGCTAAGATTGCATTGACAAGGACCAGAACGGGTTCCAAAAGAGGCAAAAAACAAATAACCATAGGGATAGGCAACCTTTCCCGCGATATGTAGAATACACCCTTTGACTCAAGATATGGCTCATATCTATGAGGTCTCTCGCGAGGCTAAGAATTTGCTCATGTCGGAAAGAATGAGAGGGGCACCAGGCAGAAGAGATTGCCAAAAATACTGCCAGTACCACCGAGACATTGGGCACAACACTAATGAGTGTCAGGCTGTAAAAGACACCATCGAAGATCTGATTAGAAGAGGCCACTTGAAAGAATTTGTCAAGAAGGCACCAGCTTGCGAGAGTATAAGCGAGCAAAATAATTAGATCCAACAAGCCCCAACAAACAACGAAGTTCTGGTGGGCATAATATATGGGGGGCTCAACATCATAGGGGGCTCAAGGCGTTCTCATGAGCAATATGCTCGAGAGGCTAAGGCACATTCGGTCCCCTAGGTAATGAGCTGTGAACAAAAGTCGTCGAAGCGGCCTAAGCAAGAGAGCGAGGTGATAGGATTCACTAGGGAAGAATGCGAAGAATCTTCTTGTCATAATTATGATGCGATCGTAATCGCGGCAAGGATCGGTAATGCCCGAGTTCTCATGGTAATGGTCAACAATAGCAATGTAGTGAACATCATCTTCTTGGGGGCATTTCAAGAAATGAGGTTCACTAAACGAGACTTGAAGGCAAGTCCGTCACCATTTTACAGATTCACCGGGGAAAGCTTGGTCCCCAAGGGAATAATTGACTTACCCATGACTCTTGGGGAAGACCCTAAGATCAGGATGGTGATGGTCAAGTTATTAATGGTTGACTACCCAACCACCTATAACATCATCTTAGGAAGGCCTACCCTAGACGACCTAAGTGCAGTCACTTCAGTGCGCTACTAAGCAATGAGATTCCCAACTCCATGAGGGGTCGCAACAATCTAGAGTTGCAAGAAAGATTCTCAGGAACATTACAATCGGGCCATTCATGTTGCACAAATTTGGCCGCTCCTGAGAACCATGGTCATTGCTGAGTCTGACCCAAAACCTAGACCCAAAACCTAGACCCCTAGAAGATACTAGGGATCCTCACATCCACAAGGAAGAGCCCACTGTAAGGCTAACAGAAGAGTTGCGAGAGTTATCTATCAGCAAGGAAGACCCAACTTGCATGTTGAAAATTGGTAGTAGTCTGAGCGACAAGCTGGCGAACAATCTTGTGGGGTTCTTAAAGAAAAACGTTGACGTGTTCGCTTGGGTACATGTGGACATGGTGGGGATCAGCCCTAAGGTAATGTGCCATAGGTTGAACATCGACTCAAGGGCTCGACCAATTAGATAAAAGAGAAGATTTATAGATGTTGAATGGTCCAGAGCGCTTAAGGATGAAGTTGATAAGCTCATAAACATCAACTTCATCAGGGAAGTAAAGTACCCATACTGACTCGCCAACCCGATCTTAGTGAAGAAGTCGAATGGCAAGTGGCAGACTTGCATCAACTTCACTGATCTGAACAAGGCTTGTCCCAAAGACAGCTTTCCACTACCCTAGATTGATCAACTAGTAGATGAGAAAGCCAAGAATGCACTACTAAGCTTCATGGATGCATACTTGAGATACAACCAAATCCCGATATATCAGTCCGATGAAGAACACACTCTTTTATTACTGACTGAGGTATTTATTGTTATAGGTAGCTCGCCTAGCTTCAGCAATGAGCAAAGAAGCGATTGATTCTTTATTCTGGTTAGATTTCTTCCAAGTCCCAGCATCCTCGTATCTTTGGAATCAGTTTTGGTAATAGGGTAGAGGTGCAGCTAGATGGATGCAATAATCATGTACCTAACAGATGAGATAAGGCTGGAGGGAAGAAATGAAGCTAAAGCCAAGACCCTTCGAGCAAAGTCAGCTCGGTACATGGTTATCAATGACAAATTGTATAAGTGTGAGTATAACTCATTGCTCTTATGGTGTATTAATCATGAAGACGCGGAGTACGTCTTGAAGGAAATCCACAAAGGCATTGTGGGAACTATGTATGAGGCAGATCTCTAGCATACAAAGTACTTCGCCAAGGATATTATTGGCCGACAGTCTTTAACAATGTGATAGACTTTGTATGCAAGTGCGACAAATGTCAGAGATTTACAGATGTTCCATGAGCTCCACCCCAAGAATTGACAACTTTGACAAGTCTTGGCCTTTTGCAATCTGGGGGATCGATCTAATAGGCCATTTGCCTCAAGGAAAAGGGGGTGTTAAGTTCATAGTGGTTGCAGTAGATTACTTTACCAAGTGGATAGAATTCAAGCCTTTGGCTACCATCACTTCAAACAAGCTAAAGGATTTTATCTACAAGAACATCATTTGTAGATTCGAAATGCCTTATACCATAATAACTGATAATGGGAAACAATTCGATTACAAAGACTTCCAATCATTCTACGAAAGGCTCAGGATAAAGAAAAGGTTTGCCACTGTTTACTGGCCTCAAGCCAATGGTCAAGTAGAAGCTGTAAATAAAGTGATCAAGCACACCATCAAAAAGAAGCTTGATGCCCTTGAAGGAAGATAGGCTGATGAAGATAGGCTAATGAACTGCTTGAGGCCTTATGGTCTTACAAAACAACCGCTAGAAGCTCGACAGGAGAAACCCCATTCTCGCTTTCATACGGATGAGAAGCAATGACCCCAGTTGAAGTGGGGATTAGTTCATTTTGGAGAGAGGTCTTTAATGAAGAAACAAACGAAGATCTTCTTCACCTAAGGCTAGATCTAATTGAAGAACATCGAGCCAAGTTTTAGCTAAGGCTCGTTTCCTATCAATAGCAAGCCAAAAGATACTTCAACTCCAAAGTCAGAATTAGAGACTTTGGGGTGGGCAACCTAGTTCTCAGAAAGGTTGTCCCAGGTACACAAAACCCAAACTTGGGCCCAAATGGGAAGGTCCTTTCAGGATCCCCGAAAAGTTCACACCAGGAACTTTCCACTTGGAACACCTCAATGGTGAAGCTATAATACAAGCATGGAATGCCAAGCATTTATGAAGGTACTACCAATAAGCAGCTCAGGTTTCAATTATGTTTTGTCTTTTTACTATTTGATGTAAGGTCTCTTACGACCAGATTTCATTCATTAATAAAGAGGTATTATTCTTAAACTTTGTTTGCTTGTTATTTTTTATCTATTGTTTCATGATCGCAACCTAAACGGCCACATCCAAAAACTCAGAGTCAAGAGTTCGAAAAAAATGCAGCTTAGCTCTACAAGCCATGCCAAAATTCAACTTATTGAGGGAGAAATTCCCTAAATCGACAAAGTTAAAACTTGGGGAAAACCTGAGTAAAACAAGTTGAAAGAAAATCAGTCCCAAATCGACGACCAACCAAAATTTGAGATAGACAACTAGTCCAAACTCAATGTTATCGCACGAAAGGTTTTCTTTTTGTTCGAAAAGTTCCTAAAGAGAAGCGAGCCACGCATAACTTAGAACTGTTTTGTTCCTAAAGAAGCAGGTCATGCATAACTTGGAGCAAATTCAAATTTTTCAAGTTAAGTTCGATCAGAACAATTAAAATGACTGCATAAGTGAAAATGTTACTTGACAAAAAAATGAGAAAACCAAATTTTCATTGATCAATGTAGTTTAGTTACAAGCTAAACTTAAAAAAAAAAAAAAAAAAAAAAAAAAAAAAAAATCTCTAAACAGTAGGTGCAGAGTAGGGGTATCATCGCCTATGGGGGCAGAAGCATCGTCAGTAGCAAAAGTCTTGGTAGCTTCTTCAAGGGTAGGAGCTGGGAAATCTCTCGAAGGCTCGACCGGGGGAAGGTCAAAGGTAATAGCATGGAGCGAGGCTAGAGGAGTTAGGTCTTCAACTTCTTGTTTGACCACGGCTTCTTCATCCTCTTCTTTGATCACCTCCTTATCCTCGTCGTTGGATTTAGAGCTTCCTGAATAGACGTACTCCATGCCTTGTGGCTCAGTCTTTATCCTATCAACCTCCTTCTGATAAGCCCTTGGAAGGAAGGAAAAGTCGAGCGAGGGATGATCTTCCCACAACTTCTACACTAGGAAGACCGAGGTATCCCAGGTATGGCTCTTGACCATCGACCTCAACTCCTTGACGTCAAGCTTTAGCCTCTCAGCCTCTAACTTAGCCTCTTTGCAGTCTTCCACTTTCGTGGAAAGGTCGCACGAAGCCTTCTCATATTTGGCCTCCTAGTCCGAGGCATTCTTCTGAGCCATGGCAAGCTCGAAATTCAGATTATTATTGACACCTCGTTGCTATGCCAAACTCTTCTCGACCTTGGCTAAGTCCGCCTCAGCCTTTGCGCTAGTAGCCTCACTCGCCTTAAGTTTGTTAAGGAATTCCCCTTCCTTGACCTCGAAGGCCTCAACCTCATTTCTCAACCGCTTGAGTGTTAGAGTAGGTGCCCCAGAGCCAATCAATTATTGTAGAATTGACTCTTTGTAATAATGTTTATTAATCAATAAAAGAAATTTTATTCTATATCGTGTAAATCATATATGTATGTATTGATATATGTCCTTAGGATGGTAGAACTGTGACGAGGTTATCAAGTGTTTCATCTTGATAGTGAGAACCCTATGATCACATATGGTGGCCATTCTAGAAATGTTGGTAGCCCTAGTATTATTCTGACCGAGGACACAAATAACATGGTAAGGCTATCATAACGTTGAATGACCCTGTCAAAAAACAGTGACTAATCTCACTTCGGTCGCAATTCAGTAAATGGCAATAACACTAAATCTATGGCCACGGTGGGATTGAGTTGTTGCTCAATCCAATTTATTTATCCGGTCATTGGTCTAGTACCTGAATACAAAGATATCAAGAATAACTGAGGTTGACATTATTTTTGTACCTCAGCCTTGATGAGATAATGGATGATGAAAGGATTTGATTTCAGGGTAACCATGTCATTGATAGGTAGCTATTTTGCTGAATCTGAATCTATTAGGTGGCCATGATGCCTTGCTAGGGGCCAATCTTGGTCTGTGTGTAGTGAAATGATTAATTGGTGTTAATCGCAATACTACTTACTGCCGATATGATAAGGAGCCTACGGGTCACACATTTAGAGGATAATTTAAGAATCAGTTTGTGAAAAGGGTATTTTCGTCTTTTAGGACGAAAGGGTATTTTGGCAATCTCACAGTGCAATTAAATTTGCTGAGGTTGTTGCCTGTATTTAATTTAATATTAAAATTAAATTAGTGAGATTATATATAAATATATGTGCGCATATATTTAAACGGATTATTATTATTAATTAAATGTTAATATATTTTATAAATATGTTAATTAATTATAATAATAATTAATTAAATTTTAAAATACCAATTAAAGGGTGTTTGGTTGCAATGGTGAATTAGGGTTGGAGCCCATGACTATTTCTTATTGGAATGGGGTTTTAATTATTGCACTATATAAGTGCAACATAAATTAAAACAAAACAACAATTTCATTTAATAAAGAAAAGGATCCAGCCACCTTTTTACTCCCTCTCACATTCTTCTTTATTGAGTGGAAAAGAAAATTTTTCTTCTTGATTCTTGAAGCCATCAAATGGATCTAGCAAATCCCTTTTTAGTTCTTCGGATTGTCTTCGTGTGGATCAACGTTCATGTGGTTCTACATTGAATCGGAAGCAAAATAAAATCAAAGACACTTGAAGGAGCCTCAAAACGTGCGTAAGATTTCTAATCCTTGAATGGATTAATATTGTTTTGTGTAGAATTTTGTTTTAACATGTAAACTATATAATTGATTCCCGGATCTTGGCATAAAGGGGAATTAATTTATCCTTTAATTTTTGTTTTTCCGTTGCGTTGGGTAGATCGATTCCTAACATCAAGATCGGCCTGCAGCGAGTCCCCTCTTTCTTTGCCACGTTGGCCCTAACCAAGGCATCCTCTTTCATATTCTTCGCTTCCTGCCACCCCACATGGGTACCTTCCAATGTGAGGTAGCTTTCATCAAGGAGGAGCTTGGACACCATGCAAGCCTGAAAAGGAAGAGATGATTAGCAAGACATAAAAGGGGAAAACTTTGAATAAAAAGAGAAAGGCAGGCTATCAATACCTTGGTGATGTAGCTGCAGGCGTGAGCAAGCTACTTGTGGGGAAAGACGTCTCTGAGCGTCTCATGAGTCCACAGTGAGATAGCCTCCCTAGCCTCAAAAGCTCTGATGTCAATGTGCTTTAGGAGCCCACCGATCATTGCTTCGAGTGTAGCCCAAGCTATCTCGTTCACCTTCCTTTTACCTCATCACAGAGGCAAGCTTTACCTGCTTCTCAGGGGGACGACAGTTTCACCCACGAGAGTAGAATTCTTTTTGCCCAAGTCCTTGGCCGCAACTTTCTTTGGGCCACTAGCTTGCTCATCAACCTTTTTGCCTGAGCCTTCCTACTGCTCAACAACCTTTTGCTTTCTCGAGCCTCGCTACTACTCGGTCGAATTTTTCTTACTTGAGCCTTCCTTTTGCTCAGGCATCTTGTTCTTGCCCAAGCCATCTTGTGGCTCGGACACTTTCTTCTTCCTCAAGCCTCCAACTGGCTCGGGGCTTTTCTTTGCCAAGCCCTTTGGGAGCTCGAGGGCATCTTTCTCCTCGATTGCCTTGGTAGGCTTCTTGGCACTTGGGCCTTCCCCAAGTTCACCACTGTTGCATTTGAGGATTGGACATGAGGTACCTTGCCCAGCTGCCCCAGTAGTTTCCATAGGCTATTTCTTCGTCGGAGAAATCAACAGCTTCTTGGTAGCCTCGAGAGAAATCCCACATATCTGCAAAGGAAAAGCAAGTTGTTGGTGACCCAACATCACAATAGAATAAGTAGCGAGCTATAAGTACTTACCTTTCTCAAAAATGGTATTGAACTTGGCGTCGTCGATGTAGAAGTGATATGCTTTCAGCTAAGAAAGCGTAATGAGCTCGGTAACGTCGCGCTCACTATTGGGGAGATCGCTAAATCACTGAAGCCGCTCTAAGCTCGCCTCATGAAGGAAGTTCTGCTTGACATTCACTATAAAACATAGAAAATTGATTAATTTGCCTGTCGAGGTTGGAAATACTCTTTGTACGTACAAGGGTCAAAATCTTACTAGCTACTAAAGCAAAAATGCTGGTCTCCTTGGTCTTGTAGAAAAAGTATTGAGAGTCCCAATATGAAATTTTCTTTGGGACCTCAGCCAAATCGTTGAATTGTATTTTCCTTGCCTTGGAGAGGTAGTACGTTTGGTCTTGGCTCTTTTTTAACCTATATAAATGGACGAGCTCGTCTATAAATAACTCACCTAATTCAGCTAATGTACATGCCTATAATAAATATATACTAGTTCCTCGACAACTGAAGGGGAACAATGCCAAACCGTTCTAAAATGTTGGCAATGAAGTAGTGAGGTGGAATGAACATTCCACACCTTAAGAGGGTATTAGAAATCACCACGCGACCCCAACACAATGATTGATGGGCTTAAGCTCCTCACAATGAGGTCCTCAGAAACCTATTGGACTACTTCCCCCTGAATAGCCAAGGTCGTTGGGGAATCA